TTCAACACATATGGTGTTCGTGTTCGCCATGTGCTTAATGGCGTTCGCCATCACAGCGTAACAAACAGTTCATGCGTGTTTTTAGTTTCTTTTTGCGCGCCTTCCCAATACAAACTTATTCAAATTCCTTAACCTCTCCATAACCACCCACATTAACCTCTATTAACTCCTACCCTAACCCCAACCATCCAAATTCTTCTCATTCTCTATAAAATACCAAAAAAATCACTCTTACTCCATCATCACTACCATTTCTCTATTTTTCTCATAATCTTCATTCCCAATCTTTCAAACCCTCTCATTATCATCTATTCTCCATCATGCCTCCAAGAATCACTAGAGATATCAATTACATGGGTATTGAATTTGCGGAAGACATCGTTGGTGAAAATTAAAGAATCAACTTCCACAAGCTATGCAAAAGACCCGTTGTCGCAACGCGGTATTCTGATATTGATACTATCTACAACTTAGGGTTGTTCGATAGTGTCAACTGGATGTTAAACAACCTAGGTATGTTGCACTTATTTTCTCTTCCCAACCCCACATATACTAGGTTGATTTATGAGTTTTTGAGTTCTCTTTGATATCCCACCGACCTGCCCCGCACTACTGGTTCCATAGATTTCAGGATGTTTAATAGGGATTACACACTCACCCAAGAACGAATAGGCACAATCTTTCAGTTCCCTAGCCGAGAGGCATATTCTTACCAAGCACCTCTCGAGAGTGAGTGACAGTTTAGTGCTCTAGGCTTTTGTCGTCAAATTACTGGTAAAACCTCCACCACTTGGAAAAGTCTTAAAGCTACCGCCATTCATAACCTAACCATTATGTATCTGCACCGTATCTTAGCTAACACCATATTTGGTCGGGAAAAAACTGGGAATGTGAATTCTAAAGATCTTTTTTTCATCCATTATGCACTCTCTGAGACTAAGGTTAACCTGATGCCTTTCCTTTTATCGCATCTTGCATCCGCCGCCGGTAGAGTCGGTGGTCATATTTGTGTTGGATCGTATGGCTACTCTTGAGTAGTTAGCCATACCCTTTGCTGATTTAGAGTACTGTCGCTCCATGTGCCTTATTAAGAATGATGATTAATAACTGGGAGGTTAGAAGTCTCACTTTGCCTTGTGTCGCACGTATTAATGTGTGTGTTAGTACTAACTAGATTTTTGACACTAAGGCCTCCGATCATGAGGAAGAGACGGTTAACCGGGCTTATGCTGACCTTATAGGGCAAAATGCTCCACAGATTGGCACACGTGCCCAAGCTGCTAATGCTCCTGGGCCTAGCACCCGTGCACACACCGCATCTGCATTTTCTGGACAATTTTCAGTTACCTACCAGCCCCGCGAGGAGTATGATTACATTGCCATCCGGAGTACATTTTATGATATTTTGTCCAAGCTTAGGCATCAAACGATAGGGAGGCAAAGCGTGATCTACTACTTCAGAGCATGCAGAGCCAACAAGAGGAGTTGAGAGTTGCCATTGACCCGGTCACCCAACAACATGTTGATTTTACTGATAGGACTCACCACGACATGGGTGACCTTATTGAGCAAATGGACAGACTAAGGACAGAGGTGATGACTATGAGAGAGTTTATTCAGCAAGTTCAACACCCTGCACTTGGTAGAGGATTTGGACACCCATGCGGCTGAGGTCGGCATCACTGAGCCTCACAACAGGTTTCTATACTCCTTCTTTCACATTGTACTTAAACATTGAGGACAATGTTTGGTTCAAGTGTGGGGGAGGAGCTTTACTGCTTTACTTTTACTTTTCCCATTGTTTTTATAATGTTTTTATGTTTTCCAGTTAGTTTATGTTAAATTGCTTTCTGTTTGTGTGTTGAGTCTTTTGTGCACCATTGAGTTCTATTGTATGTTACTTTTTCTTTTTGTTAGAGAATTCCCTTAAAAGTGGCCCCTAATGAAATTTTTTTGTTCTAATTCAATGGCATGACACTCCGAGAGTATATGTCGTTTTTCATTTTTAAGTTATGTTAAGTGGACTTGGGAAAGTTTTGATAATATCGGTACCGTCCTAACACCCTAGATTCCCTAAGTATGCAGCATCGATTTAAATAACCATTATGCCTAAACCTTAATTTCCGAGCTTTTGTATTAGCCTCTTGAGTAGTTTATACTAGCGGTCAACTCCATCTAAGGCACACACTAAGTAATAAACTGATGCAAATATGTGTTTGATCTCGAAAAATTGAATTGAATAGTTTTATTGGAAAAAAAAGCGAATGAAAGGATACATTCTTTCTAAGTTAGGCGGTTCTCACCCGACCATTTAGCCCAACAAATCAGATTCTTGAAATTCGAAAAGTAAAAAAATAAAAGAAGAAAAAGTGTGAAAGTTAAATAACGAGATCATAAAAACTAACAAATTCACTTACTATGTGAGTGCAGGGATAACGAGATTAATGTGATCGCGCGAGAATGAGAAAGAGGTGAAAAGAAACGAATAATGTAGGCCGAGTCATAATGGTATGATTTGGATTGGTATTGCATATGAGCAGTCCTTGTCCGTAAATATGGATATGTGTCATCACAATGTCCATGTTATCGATATTTAGTACCTATCTATTTAGCATTAGCCTGACAACCACGTACGTTTTAGAGTGATGCCATGCCTATGCTTTAGATTATATGCTTACTATTTTCATTGTGTTGGGAGTTTGCTTGAGGATAAACAAAGGTCTAAGTGTGGGAGAGTTTGATAACGAGAAATCGTATCATGTTTTTAGGCTCATTCGGCGTATTATTTATCCGTATTTTATCGAGTCTTGTTGTATTTTACTTTTTTTAATTGTGTTTTGCAATTATCAGGTTCGTCTATTACGAATCCAGAAGCAAACTGGAAAAAGAGTGAGAGAATAGCAAAAAGTGCAGCAAATGAAACAATTATGCCTCTATCACTAATATGGTGTTCGCCATAGGTAGATGTTATTCCTCATCACCTTGCCTGCCATGTCATTTAAGTGAAGAAGGCAATGGCGAACGCCATTAGTTCGCCGCAATAGTTTTCTTTTCTGCAACAGCAGTTTCAGGCAATTTTGATAACCTCTTTCCCCTCCACTCTAATGCACGCTCCAGGGTAGTTATAGGGCCAATTCTCTCTCTCTCTCTCTCTCTCTCTCTCTCTATATATATATATATATATATATATATATATATATATATATATATATATATATATATATATATATATATATATATATATATATATATATATATATGACCTTTGGGACACATTCCAAGGCATCCAAGACATGCGGAATCACTGCAGAAATTCCGATTAGTTCTTATACACAAATTACTTGTAAAAACGGAAATAACTCACATCGAGGGATTGTCGCAACTGTTTTTCTATTTTTATTTTCCTCTGTATTGTACTCTTGGATCATAATTTCAAGCCTGTCGGCATTTTGCATTTCAATCGCGTTTACTTTAATTCAGGTTTTTACTATTTTTTGTTTTTACTTGTTATTACTTTTAATTATTGTTTAACATGATAATTTTAAATTTGTTAAGTATGAACATGTTAGTTGTAGTTAATATAATGTCTGGATAAATTAATTGAGACCAATGTCGTTACCGACGAGACTCGGTAGAAAAATTTAGGCCCGAACTTATGATTGTATGATATTTTTTGTTTTAGTTTTCAAATTGTATGACTTATTATTTTGACACGAGAGTGAGGAATAAACTAAAGTCTAGGCCGATAGCGCGAGAGTGTGAGGAATGAACTGGATAATGGAAACTAGGCATCGATCCTAAAAATAGCGAGAGTGTTGTAGGCATCGATCCTAAAAATAGCAAGAGTGTTGTAGGCATCGTTTAGAATCTCATTGACTTTCAAAACACGCTTTTTAATTGAAACGGGCGAGCGATGGCAAAATTCTATGGTTAGGAAGTGTGGTTCTTGTCAATAGTGAGACATAGTCTTTAAGTCGGTATTTTCTACAGAACCGAGTTTAGTCGTAATTAGCACCCAATTTCTACAAGTCTCTTAGGCACGCAGAATATTCCAGACTCATTTCATCATTATTTTAAAATCTTTAGAAATTAATATTTTTCTTCACATTCGTAATTTATTAATCACTGGCCTTAGCTTTGCACTACGACGATAGATAACATTAGTTTGATCATCAATTACATGTGGGTTCGACAACTTTTTTAAGACTAAACGAACAATTGTATACGTGCTGTTATTATTCGACGGACACGTTAATGTCGCACTTGGCCACTCAAAACGGACATATAAGTCACCCAGATGTGGTAATACAACTCGCTCGATTGGGCTTATATTGTCCTAATCGCCCAAAAAACCACAACATATGGGCCACCCGCCGCCATGGCTAGCCGTCACCCCGTACGTGTAATATACTTACTAGAGCATTTGAGTCTCACTGTCCTTGCAGGAGGAACAAACACACAAAGTACCTTTTGGACAGTATAAAGTTCATCGACAACTTCAAGCATATCCAACAAAGAATATATGAGAACATTTTAGAAATGAGGACGCCTAAATATAAATTTGACTACCTATGTGATCTTATTTATTTTTATCGATTTTAGTTATATATGTCATCATGTATTTAAGGTTAATTTTAATTTATTATTATAAAATGTAAGTTTAACTTAATATTTTAATTAATTTGATAATTTGATTTTATATTAATATTAATTTAAATAAATTAATTAATATTTTAAATTAAAATAAAATTTAATATAAATAAAAATATTAATATATGCTATGATCCAATATGAGTTTTTTTGAATTTTATTATTTGAAATTAAAATTGGAGTTGGAGATGCTGTTAGAAACATACTACTTAATTTTGCACTAATAAAAAAAGACTAGAAACAAAGGATGAGACTAGAAATTAAATTAAGCAAGCAAAGCTAAACCACCTTCAAAAACCCCACTCAATTTCAAAATCCTCACTCACCAAAACCTAGAAACCACAATAACCATGTCTCCAACACCATCAAAACCAGAGATTCTCCTAAACAACAGGTTTCTAAGCTACCTCATATGGCAATCAATACCCTCCACTCTCATCTTCCTCTTCTCCTTTTTCATTCTCCCCAAAACCCCTTTTTGGTCTTTTCTCCCTTTCCTCACTTTCCAATTCCTCTTCTCCGTTTCCCTCTCCTTCGTCTCTTCACCTTCCTCCCACCCCATTTTTCTCAACTTAAAGCTCTCACTCACTTTCCTTCTCTTTATCACCGCCTCAGCTTTATCCGGTTCCGTTGCGGCGCTTTCGTTCTCCGGATTTAACGCCTTTGGAAGACTTGGGTTAAGGGGTTTCCTCGCTGGTTTAATCTTTGGGGTTCATTATGTTTTTAAACGCCGTTGGGTTTTGGAGTTTCCCATTATTCAGGTTAAGCTTTTGAATCAAATGGGTTTCATAAAGTTTTGATTTTTTTATTTGGGTTTGTTTATTTGTTATTGTTTGCAGAAACTGATTTTGGTTACTTTGTTTGTGTGCAGCGTCCTCCTTTCTTCAACTTCAAGATGGGGATTCCTTTGGCTGCTAAACGTGCTTTTAAGCTTTCCACTGTTGCTTTCATTTTTTCTGCTCTTTTGTTAGAGATTATTCCACATCCTTTTAAGTGCAGCATTGCAACGCAGGCATTCTTCGCCGAACAGATTGTGTTCTTTATTGGTAGTTTTGCTATCTTTTTCTGTTGGGAATTGACTCATAATTTACATCGGGTTAGTGTTCCCTATCGATACAATTGTTTAATTGCTGATTCATGTTTTGCATTCAGCTTGAATGTTGTTAAATGTTGCAATGCTATACTCTCTTGTAGATGTTTGTGCATTTGTTAATCTCATGTTTTTGTGTATGTGTGTATATATGTGTATGAAATTACCCTTTTTCCCTTCGGTCGGGATTTGAGTTTTACGATCATTCACAAGCCGATCAATCCTACTTTAGATCTCGTGCTTGACTACATTGACCTTAACAATGCATAGTGAACCTTTTTTTTATATATTAACTTGCGTCTCTATCTATGCCAAATATGATGTTACATAGGTTTTACATACTAAAAGATCCGTATTTGCGCCCCCTAAAGGATCAGCAGCTGCAGAAACAAATCCAAGCGAGCACCTCCTTTCAGCATTGGAGGAGAGTAATCCAAAATCTCTTCTTCGATATCTTGCTTACCTTGATCTCTGTATGGTTTGCGAGAACAATGTTGACACTTGGCGTCGTGCGGCATTTTTTGAAGAATCCGGTGAGACTTACAAAAGAGTAATTGCTGTGTGCTTGAGGCCTCTGGAGCAACTTACCTCGAGATTAGGCGAGAGCATGGGTAATTCTACTGACAAACCTACCCAACTATCAGATCAGTTATCCTCTCCAACAGATGTGAAGCACGTTGAAGAACTGTATAACCTCCAGGTACATGTATAACTCTGTTATATGTAGATTGTTTGTTTTCTGATCCCCACTCTCTGAATAATTACTAAGTAACTGTTTGTTTCCACGTTAATTTTTGACATGCTTAGTTCTTCCGAAGTAGAATTGATTTTGCCTCTAGAATTGACTTGACTCGAAATTAAGATTTGTAGCTTGAGTCTAAATGTGATTTTAATTCTGAATTTTACATGAAAGTATCCGAACATAAATCACTTTTGCCAGAATCAGTTTTATAGAATCAATTGACTCAATTAATTCTTGTTACCGCAGAACCAAACACACGCTTACAATACTAACATTTGGTTGTTTAAAAAAAAATTACAGTCCACATATGTAGCAATCCTAGACAATAATAATCTAAATTTCCTACAATATATTGAACTTTCTGTGTTACACTTGCTGAAAATATAAAATTGTCCCTACAATCAATCATGGTGTGGTTGATAATATTAGCCATTCCTCTTCTCATGTAACAAAAAGTGAAATTATAGACATGAGTTTAGGCTGCATAAATATGCACTTGGATCATAAACATGAAATATTTGTATTCACTGTCTTTGATGAGAGACCTTGTAGTAGTGGCACAATTATAAAATGTCACATTCTACAGTTATGAATTTGGGTTTGTTTGAAATAGCTTATTCGAGCTTATCTACTAGTATAATAAGCACTTGTGGACTATTTGAAAGAGTGTGGAATCAGCTTATGACATGTCAATAAGCTTTTTATCAGATTACTTGCATAAGTTTTTTCGGATAGCTTAACGAAAACAGCATATGACATTTGTATGCTAAATATTGATAAGCTTTTGTTTTCTTTTGCATGCAGCTATATGCTTGGTGCTCAAGGATTGTTGCCTCACTGACTTCCGCCTCACGCAAAGAGGATAAGTTTGGAGCTGCTCAGCTTTCTGGGAGTAACGCTGCTGTGGTTTCGACGCTGATATCATGTCTTCTTGCTGCTGAGAATTTCATGGGAAAGAAAACAAACCTGCAATCTCCGAATCAATTGTTGGGATCTTCGGGTATCAAATGGGCGACAGCTAATAGTGGAAGATTAGATATTGCAGCTGCTTCTAGTAAAAGGAAAAATGGGCCAGCAAATTCAAAAGCTTATGCTATTGCTGATGTTCTCAAGACATCAATCTACCAAATAGTATCTTCATTTCATGATGAAATGTTGGCTGGCACTAAAGCAAGTCTTCTGGAGAAGGACTGGATCACAAGCGAGAAACCACTTTTCGGTACTCGAGAGATGCTAATACAGAAATTACGTCTTTTCCTCGATTTCCGGGCCACCTAATTCCGCATTCTGGTGAGGTTTGAATGCTACTTAACTGGATTAGACATGATTTTAAGAGGCTATACAATAGGATGCTGTCAAATAGAGTTATGTTGATAGAATGGATGGAAAGAAAAGTTCTCAATTTTGTTGTCAGATATTTGAGATATGTTGAAAATACTTGCATTAACAGGTGGGCTATCGATTGGATTTGCCTTTTCTCGATAATTTTGAAGTGCTTCTTTGAAAAGAGATTTTAGAATTGTCTGTGTGCTTTATATGATCCATTGATATGGATAAATTGATTTACATATATCTTTACAAAATTGGAATGTGTTTTGGATAGCCTAGGCTTTTGTAATTGTGTAACTTCATTTAGGCTTTTGTTATTATATGTTAAAACAAAGTGATATGATGCAATTTTTATTGTATGTTTGGCTTTTAAAGAAGTCATGCCAAAGATATAGAATTGATTTTAGAATGATTTTGAGGTGTTTGGTTAACTTTATCTAAATATAAATTACTACTTTTAACTCACTTTTAAAATTCATTTGAAAGTATTCTTTTCATTGGAGAAACAACCACAAACTTAGTAGTTTTTGGATTGAATAAGATTTTAACTAGGGCTTTAGACTCAATGCCACTCTATAAGTCTATAATTAGTATGGAGCCTATAAAGTTAGAGTGATTAATAACGATTCACAATCACTCTAGCATACAAGACATGTAAAAACGAAATAGCTAGAAAAATATATAATAGTCCACAATCTCAAACATAGTGCTTGTAAGGGCGATGTGATTGGGAAAAGACATGTTTACAAAAGGTGGTATTATTGCGCGATTGTGTTAATCATGATTTATGATTTTGGAGACAATTCAGTCTTCTCATCTAATGGTCTTTCGGTTAAAATATTATAAAATATTTGAGAATATATATATTTTTATTAATTTAAAGTATCTTAGAGTATATATTACTACCATATTTTTATTAGTTATAATTATCGTGATTTATTCTTGATTTAAAATTGAGTTTATGTATATTTATAAATAAGGATTAATATTGAGTCTTTTTATAAAGCCAATAATTATTATCAATAATATTTTTCTCTTATCTTTTATATATAATTACAAATTCAATATGGTATCTAGAGTTTGGTTTGATTCTCCTTGAACCCTCTCATCATTATTCCATCGTGGAGTTTCAAAATAGTTGAAAATATCATAATAATTTTCTCTTCATTGGGCAGGGTCCGAAATTAGTTATTTGTCTTTAGGTACGACCGCCGTCAATGTTAACCACGTGTTCAACGAACACTATCATGTAGCCATAAAGTAGTTTAAAGGTTGTTATTGTTTCCTTCAAAGAAACTTCAACTGTCGTGTCTGACAGCACTACAACCCCACCATCATATTCTCCAAAGTCAAATCAGTCAGTCCTTGAAGCTCCTCCCTCAACCGTTATCTCATGCATGTTTCTACTGATGTCATAAGTCCAGAAAGTGCATAAAGGTCATTGACCACCCTTTTGAGCTCCTCTAGTAAATATATTGAAGAGTCAACCTAAAATCTTCATCCAATGAAGAAGATGAACAAGTTTTCTTGGAAGCTTCTCACGAAGAAGATGATTGTGAGGTAACAACTTTATCATATGAGCAGCTACTTAAACTAAATGCTAAGTTAACCGAGGAACATGATAAGATTGAAAAGCGTAATTTAGATCTTAACGACTACATTGACTTTCTAGAGAATAGAAATAAAATGCTAAGATATGAAATATGTAATGTTAGAAGTCAACCTAATAAATGTGAGTCTTGTGTCTCAATGAAGAAGGAAGTGAAATTTTTTCATGAAACCTTAAGTAAATTTACTAAAGGAAAAGAAATCCTAGATTTTATTCTACTAAATCAAAATCATTCCTTGAATAAAACTGGATTAGGTTTTAAAACAAGTATATCACATATTAAAAGTTTAAAAAGGAAGAAGTTAAATCGCCTTATTTATAAATTCTCGTTTTGTAATAGGTTTTGCCATTTATAGGATTTCGATTTTGATAAACTAAGAAGGTATAAAGGTAGTAATCCTAGACCTCTTAGAACTACTAACGCACTAGAACCAAAAAGATTTGGGTACCAAATGTGAAACCTAGTTTGTTTTGCAGGGATGTTTTGCAGTTTTTAATAAAGCCTTAATACATATTAATGAAGTTATGCAAAGTAAGATTTATACCTTTGAGTATACATGATGTGCCTGGTGAAATTTAATGATTATTATGCTAGTGATCCAAGTATGCTCGTTGATGTGTATTTCAATGGATGAAATTAAAGCATTATTAATTGAGGATGCTTCTAAACTTTTATGATTAGTAACGATCATTTAACCTTGTAATAGGTTTTGGTAATAAGTATGTAATGGATTTATCAACCATGTTGTTTAAACAAACAGTTGTATCAAATAATTCACAGAGAAAGATGTACAATTTTTTTTATTCCCTCAAAAGATGGCGTTTTGTGAAGCTCACTTGATATTTAAGGTGATACACTTTTTAGAGGTTGAAGAATCGGAAAACTCTATTTAAAGCTTTAAATAAGTGGTTTATTATTTTCTCATCAATTAAAATTATTATTACTGGTGAAATATTTGAGTTTTTAGCATTTAAAAAAAAGGGTGCAATCTAAATAAAAAAGGAGTGTAAAAAGCAGTCCACCAAGGAAAAATTTCAACCCAAGGCCTAAAAGACCAAGGAAGTTGAAGCCAAGAAAAATAATTGACTAGCCTAATTGATTAGGTGCTCTATGCGTTTCAAATTTCATATGAAATCAGATTGTATTTTTGCCTTCAAGCAAATCAAATAAGAGCACTGATGGAGAACGTAAGAAATCTTCAAAATCATCATCCAATAATCGATTAGGTCCCTCAAATAATCAATTAGGAGTCATGATGTGAAAAGTTTTGGTTATGATATTTTCTAGGTCAAATCTTCAAGGATTTTGTGGATGCAAAAAAGCTCATAAGTAACATTATAAATAGCTACTCTTATTCCCTTCTTTTGCATAATCACTTTCTCTCTTCATCTTGTTCTTTCTCTTTGTTCTTGTGTGAGTTTTACTCGGAGCCATTAGTATCATCATCTATGGCTCCAACAAGAGGCCTCCCCACTGGAAGCTCTTCTTCAAGAAGATTATTATTTGAAGGATAATCCTCGAGAAGTCAAGAAAGGAGGGGAATGTCCAACCGTAAAGTCTTACGACCTATTTTTATGGAAGAAATTTTTCTCAATAATTTCAAGTCGTATATGAACATCTGCCAAGGTTTGCTAAGGGATTTTCACAAAAGTACCATATCGAGTGTTTCCAGATATTGCAAGAGAGTTCTACTCAAACCTGAAGTTTAAAGATATATCCCTGAAGACACTTGTAAGAGGAATAAAAACTAATATTTGTAGAGAGAAGTTCAACATAATGTTTAAACTACCTTTCAATGGAGTATCATATGCCTATGTTGGGCCAATAAAGTTTAAACTATTCAAATTTTTTACTTCTACCCTCTCCTTTATCATGAATCATATCGAAGATAGAAAGATGTCTATTAAAGAAAGCTACTTAAAGGCAAAGATTTATATGGCACACTATTTGATCACAAGGATACTCCTCTTGAGGCATGATAACCTTGAAGTCGTCATTAGAGAGGATGTGGTTCCTTTATGGTTAATAACCCAACAATTTCAAACAAAATGGTTCAACAAGATGCTTCTTGTAACACCCCATTCCCAAAAACACAATTAATTGCAATAAAATAAACGAATATCAGAGTATTCACATACACAATGGGATGTCACAGAAAACACACATCAAGAAAACATCTTCATTAATGATTTTTGATAATTACACAACGGAATTATATACATATATTTACATCATATACATAAATGTCATAATCATCATGTACGGCCACCGCCAAAATATACAAAATATATCCACCACAACGGGTTCAACAAAACATGATACGCCACAGGGGCACAACAAAAGTAAAGGGGTGAGAAATCACGATCAAATCATAGCGGTAATAACGTACATGAATAAATAGGCAGAAACATAAAATATTCATTCATATACATCAAATCCGGACCTACTGTCCCATGCCAACACAACACTCACTACCATGCAAATATATGCAACACAACCCATGATATGCGGTACCGACTCAACATCACTGGTTCATCAACCATCCTCATGATAGATTGCATACGCTCCCTCTGAGCAACGATTTATCCCTGCCACGCTCCCCATTTGGAGCCCCGGTAATTCACACTTAGGATAGATCGCATCCACTCCCTCTGAGCAACGATCTATCCCTACCACTCCCTTCCGGAGCACCGGGAAAATCAAACTCAGGATAGATCGCATCCACTCCCTCTGAGCAACGATCTATCCCTACCACGCTCCCCATTTGGAGCACGCGAGTGAATCACATACGCTCCATCTGAGCAATGATTCACCCCGTAAACATGCATATGCAAACCCCATGCACACAGCAAGACTAGCACACACGGCGCACACGGTCCCCTGACCACATCTCATCACATATCATATGCATATATATATATATATATATATATATATATATATATATATATATATATATATATATATATATATATATATATATATATATATATATATATATATATATATATATATATATATATATATATATATATATATATATATATATATATATATATATATATATATATATATATATATATATATATATATATATATATATATATATATCACGCATCCTCATATCCATGCACACTAACATACATCAATTCAATCATTCAAACTAAACGAGTATCAAGCATTCAAGCTCTACATCACACATACACTCTCACTGTTCATCTACAAACATAGAATCAATCACAACCAGCAAGAGTTAAACAATACAAGAGAATAGAACAACACATCACAAAAATTGAAAAATGTTGTCATTCTCGCTAGCTCATTCGCTAGGCGAAGCAT